AACGTACGTACTCTCTCTCTCTCTCTCTCTCTCTCTCTCTCTCTCTCTCTCTCTCTCTCTCACACACACACACACACACACACACACACACACACATACTAGCATTAGCCTCTAATGTCAAGGAGTTCAACGATATTGGCTCATTTTACTAGACTTGCATTTAAGAACCAATATGCCAATTGATTGTTCCTCTCTTCTGATACTTGAATTGCTTCCCTAGTTATTGGTTAATTTTTTCATAAACTGTTTTATTTAAAGTGTTTTTGGATAGTTGATTATTTTGGTCACTATTGGTACTTTATGCAGAAGAGTAAAAGAGATGCCACTAGTGAGAAGAAAACAAAGAGAGGGTACATTCAAACCAATGACTCGAGACCCCAATGGATGACCACTATGTTTCCACCTCCCCCATTCCTGTGGCAGATAATGTACTTCCATGTTTCAGCTCCACTGGAAGAGACTTATACTTCACGCAATGCAACAATGATTTTACAAGCCACTATAATTGTCCAAAAACCAGTAGATTTTGAATAATTTTATGGGAAACAGGTTGCATATGAGTAGTTTTCTTGTCCCTCTAAAATGCATTTGTTTAATGCAGCAATTTGCTTTACTTTTTACATGCAACTTTAGCCCTGACGATGATGTTTTCATTTAAATAAACAGATTGGTCTTTTTCTTGTTTTGTCGACAAACATCTCCATCACTGTAACTTTTCTTTAAAATGTTGTCATAAACTGCAATTATGGGAAACAGGTTGCATATCAGTAGTTTTCATATCCCTCTAAAATGCATTTGTTTAATGCTGCAATTTGTTTTACTTTTTACATGCAACTTTAGCCCTGCAGATGATGTTTTCATTTAAATTAACAGATTGGTCTATTTCTTATTTTGTCCATAAATGTCTCCATCACTGTAACTTCTCTTTAAAATGTGATCATAAACTTCAATTAAGAAGACGTTCTATTTGAGTTGTAAATTGCTTGTGCCATTTTAATTATTTGATTATTTGACATCCTGTATAAATAGTTTTCCCTCTACAAAATTATTGTCTAAACTCATTTTTTATTGGGTAACTGTATTTACACTGCAACTTAGTCCAAAAAATCATCTTTCTACCGGGTTATTGTCAAACTCTTATTTCTCCAAGTAGCTTTTATGGACCTGTTTATCTTAACACCATCTTCTAAATTAAGTAATTGTGAATCTTAGTCCCTTTTGAGGGGGAATAAATGCATCATAGATATTGCTTTTCCAGGTTTGCCAGATCTCTAGCAAGTATCGCCACACCTACTGCTGGGTCTTATTTAGCTCATTCAAGGGCGAGTCCAATTACCCTTCTCCAGCAGCATTCAGTTGAGGAGCCTTTGCTTGGAGCCTTCGTTTCAACCCAATCTGCCCCACCATTGAACACAAAAAATATGCTCTACTCTGTAAGTCAGGCATCTCCCCTTTTGGACAATAGCAACATTAATCAGATGATCTCTCTCTCTCTCTCTCTCTCTCTCTCTCTCTCTCTC